CAGCTTATGATTGTCCCTTTTTCTTTGTCCTTCGACGAGATGAGTGCAGGGGATTGGGAAGTGCTGGCGACGGAAGGAGGCGACACAGTGGCGGAGGGCTTTGTCTACGTCGATGGTTGTTGGCTGGAGGCGTTGCGCCGCTCGTCAGCAGCCTGACGCTTGTAGCACTGGTCGATAGAGTGGCCAGACTTCTTGCAGTATTTGCAGAAAGCTCCCTTCTTTCCGCGTTGTTCCCCTTGTAATGCTCCTGTATAGAAGACTAATTTCTCCCGTTTAATATTCTTCTCGTTGTACAGGTCGATTTCCTTCTGCTCCGAAAGAAGCGTGGCGCACAGAGCTAACTCTGATATGGTTGCTCGGGCGCGAAGGAGTGACTGGCATTGTCGCCAGTCGGGGCCGAGGCCATAGATGACCATCGAGATGAACATGTCATCGGGGACAGTCCCACCGCATTTCTTGACTTGGTCACGCAGATTGCAGCACCGGTTGACATACGGTCCCGCTTTCTCCCCCTGCTTCATTTTAACTGAAGTCATTTGGCTGAGTAGACGGCTCATGGTAGCTGGATATGTTGCCATGTATGAGTTGCGCAGGTGTTCCCAGGAGGCTTGTGCGGGAGCCTACTCCGTCTTATAAGGGCGAATGCCAAGCTACTCTTGAGGTGAGAGATTGCGAAGGAGAGCGGTGTATGCGAGGAGGGATTCGTGGTAGTATTGATGCTTCTCCCGGATGGTACCTTCCGAGGGAAAGAGTAGGCTTCCGTCGTAGTACATCCAGATCTGAGCGGTTGTCGCGAGAAGCTCGAATTTGAAACTCCACGTGTAGAAATCCTTTCCGTCGAAAGAAGTTGAGGTCTTCAATTTTGAAGTCAGTACAAATTTGGTTTGCATTGAAGCAATGTCCGTCTGTGAGCGTTGTGGGATGTCTTGTGCAGGAGCTGACCCTTGACGATTGTCGAAGGTGAAGGATCTCTCGGAGTTGACGCGGCGATCTTCTCCAAGGAGAGGAAGTCCAGCAATGCCACGTGCGTAGCTTGAGCGGTCAACGCTCATTGCTTGGTGGCTCTCAAGGGCGTTGATGCGTGCGACTATTTCCTCAACGACAGCGGCGCTGACGGAGGTAACTGCTGATGGCGCGTTAGTCGTTGCTGGTGGTGGGCCCGGTAAGTCTGCAGTAGCTTTCCCTTCAGGAGCCATAGTATTGCAGACTTTGAGGTGTAATGAGTAACCTTATAAAAGAGTTGTTCTGAAAAGAACGAGAACTTGACAGATCGTATAATCCACTCTGGCTCTCATACCATGCTGATGTAACCAAGGATCCAGTGGATAGGATAGTGTGAAAAGTTTAGAAGAAAGAAGAGGATTGCACTAGCAAGAATGAGGATACAAATAGCAAACCCTAGAAGGGTTGTACTCGCTATAGAGCACCCCACTACAGGCTAGAGCATAATATTCTGACACACCCCCATAGCCGAAGTGGGGTGTAATCAGCAGAGCAAGCAAATCAGTACAAGCTCAGGGTGGATCACAAAGTCACCACACATTCTGAGCACAAGTGAGAGAAGCAATAGTTTAAGTTCACAATTATGAGCAAAGCTAGAGGCTATCACAGAGGGCATGTGTGGAGGAGGAGGGACTATGGGGGAGAAAAGATGGGAGGCGATTGCTGACGCTGCAGACACACACACGAGCCGTTGGCTCAGTGGCTACCGGAACAGCGCTCCGGACTACTGGAGTAACTGGCCCCGTGGCTAAAATAGCGGCAAACGAGCAACGGACCTACGGGCGACTGGCGACTACCGGAGATTGTAGCCTCCTGACTGCTGCAGCTGCTGACAACAAGACTGCTGCCTCCACTCAACCTCCCCCAGCTGCCCAACGCCCCTCTCATACACCCACTGCTACACTCCTAGCTCCACTCCGTGAAACAGAGAACGCGAATGAATGAACTATGAGTGAAGTGAGTACATATAGGAAACCCTAATTGGGTTGTACCCCCTATGGGATACCCCACTACAGCCTACACAACAACATAAGCTATATATAAAGTTCTGACACACCCCCATAGGCAAAGTGGGGGAGAACAAGGCGTCACAAGACCAGTCAAGCAAAGCAGAGCAAGCTCAGGGTGGATCACAAAGTCACCACACAGTCCGAGCACAACGACAAGGCCACAAGGCCAGTTCACATGCAGGAGTACACACATATATATAGAGCTAGACAAGCAAGAGCAGGTATATATATGTGACACTAGAAGCAAGGTCAAGAGGAGAGCAAGTGAGGCAAGACAGGTACAAGACCCAGCTGAGTGCAGAAGCGCTGATGGTCACAAGGCGCGAGTGCCTTGGTGAACACGTCAACAGTGTTGGCCTCAGAGGCCACGTACGCAAGCCGCAACTGTCCACGCTGCTGTAGCTCACGAGCAAGGAAGTAGCGGAGAGCAATGTGCTTCGTTCTGTGCTCCAGGCGCTGCTCTCGACACAAGGCCAGCATGGCCTTGTTGTCTACGTACAGCACTGGAGGAGAACGAGGCGGCTCTCCAAGGTAAGTCAGCAGGTAGGTGAGCCAGCGAAGCTCCTGTGCAGCCATGGCCCCGGCGTAGATCTCAGCCTCACAACTGGAGCTGAGGATAGAAGACGAGCGAGCAGCCCGCCACGAGACAGAGCCGGAACCAAGACTGAAAGTGTAACCCTGTGACGACCGCTGCGTAGCCTGGTCGTCAGCTCAAGAAGCATCCGCGTGCCCCGTAAGGACCACTGGACTCCGCCCTCCAAGCACTAGCCCCATGCCCGACGTACTGCACAGGTAGCGCAACACCCTCTTCGCTGCAGCCATGTGCTCTGGTCGGTGTCTCCCAGGAGCAACATAGCGTGCAAGATGCTAAGAGGGTATGCAAGGTCAGGTCGTGTGCAGGTCATCAGGTACATGAGGCAGCCAACAAGCTCTGGGTACGGGCCACTCGACTCTACGAACTCATCCGAAGGCAGAACTGAGAGCGAGTGGCGAGTAGACAGAGGAGTGGCCTGAGGCGAGAAGTACGTGAAGCCGAAGCGCTGAAGGACCTGCTGCACCATGTGTGACTGAGTCAAGGTAATGGTGCGGCGTGCTCTGTCCCGAGTGATCTGCAAGCCAAGATAGCTGCGCAGTTCACCTAGGTCTGTGCACGTGTGTCTCTTCTGCAGCTCGGACTTCACGTGGGCGAGTCCAGCAGTGTCCGCTGTGCCAAAGACCAAGTCGTCGACGTACACGAGGATGTAGAACGGCGGCAGAGAAGTGTCGGTGCGTAGAAACAGCGACGGGTCAGCAGTAGAGGGAGCAAACCCAAGAGCCGCAAGCGTAGTCCTCAGTGTGTCGTGCCACTCACGCGGTGCCTGGTGGAGACCGTAGAATGGCCGTCGGAGGCTCCAATGGGTGCCAGGAGGGAAAGTCCCAGTGAAGCCAGGTGGACGGCGCAGCCACATCTCCTCGTGCAGGCTACCCTGCAAGAACGCAGTGCTGAAGTCAAGAGAGTGAAGCTCGTAGTCGCGCTGAGCTGCTATGTGCAGCCGCACCCGAAGAGTGGTCATCTTTGGGGTGGGAGAGAAGGTCTGAAAGTAGTCAACTCCCTGCCGCTCACTGAAGCCACGAGCGACGTACCGCGCCTTGAAGACAGGTTGAGAGCCCGGCGGCCGCTTCACCCTGAAGATCCACATGCCACTGACGATGTTCGCCCCAGGAGGGGGAACCGCGTCAACGTAGGTGCCTGTGGACTTCCAGGAAGCCATCTCTGCATCCATAGCTGCCTGCCACTGAGAGGAGTAGGGACCCTCTACGGCCTCCCCGTAAGAGCGCGGAGTCGGGATGTCTAGTGCATCCGGGTCTCCCTCAGGGGCAAGCAGTAGAGACGCGAGACTCAGCAACAAGGGCGGCGTGATAGTGGGACTGGCAGCACGAAAAGAGTCCGACTCCGGGTCGGCAAGCGCAGGAAGAGAGGACGCAGGAGAAGAAGGCAAAGGGGCACGCAGAGGAGTAGTGGACGGACGGAGAGACATCCGGTGCGTGCTAGGGACAGGAGGAGGACGCTGACGCAAACCGCGACCACTAGCGCGAGCAGCACGAACAGGCGACGCGGGACGAGACGCAGGCTCACGACGCTCAGCAAGACCTCCAGTAGGAACAGTGTAAGGAGAGGGAGCAGGCAGTGGGGAGGCGGGCTCTAACTGTGACGGTGACTGGACAGGCGGAGGACACTCTAAAGGAGGAGAAAGACCAAGAACCTGCTGCAGGAGCGGAACGAAGTACGGCCGAGGCCGCACGGCGACTCCAGACACAGCAGGGACAGCACCAGCACCCTCAGCGGCAGCACCAGCGCTAACAGCACCTCCAGCGGCAGGACCTCTAGCAGCACCAGCAGCAGGACCACCGCCAGGACAAACAGCAGCAGTCTCAGCACCAACACCCTCAGCAGCTCCAGCTCCAGTAGGACCCGCAGGCCCAGCAGCTCCGGGACCGGCGGCACCAGCACCCTTAGCGGCCGAAGAAGCTCTAGCTCCAGCAGCACGCCTCCAGCGGCGAGCAAACCACTAGTGCAGCTCCTGTGGAGAGAGTGGCTCCCGCCGAGACGGAGCACCCGGAGAACCTCCACGCCCAGCACCGCTAGACGCCACAAGGGGAGGTCCAGCGGCCGCAGGCTCCGCACCTCCAGGATCAGCAGCCCCAGACGCAGCACCCCCAGGCTCAGTAGCTCCAGACGTAGCACCCCGAGACTCAGCACCCCCAGGCTCAGCAGCTCCAGACGCAGCACCTCCAGGCTCAGCAGCTCCTGACGTAGCACCCCCAGACTCAGCACCCCCAGTCGCAGTACCCCGAGGCTCAGCACCCCCAGGCGCAGCACCCCCAGTCGCAGCACCCCCAAACTCAGCACCCCCAGGCTCAGCACCCACGCGCACGGCACCCCCAGAGTCAGCACCCCCAGGCTCAGCACCCGCAGTAGTACCAGAGTCACCAGCAACCTCGACCGGCTCAGCCGCGTGTACCTGGGACACACCTGAAGGGACAGGACCCTGAGGGGGAAGGGGGTCTACCGGGGGGGGACCTAGCACAAGGAAGTGTGGCGGTGGGGGGAGGGAAGGAGTGCGGTAGGGGAAGAGACGGTAGAAGGGGACCGACTCGTCGAACGTGACGTCCTGGGAGGACAGAACACGATGAGAGGAGGGGTGGTAGAACTGCCACCCTGGGGCGTCAGGGGGGAAGCCGAGGAAGACACAGGGAGCAGCACGGGGGGACAGCTTGTCCGCAGACAAGTCGCGGACAAACGCCCGAGATCCCCAGACACGGAACGCAGACGCATCGCCGACCTTCCCCGTCCACAGTAGAGCTGGGGAGGTCTTCGGCCGGGAGACCCTGGGGTGAAGGTTGAGCTGATGCGCCGCGTACCGAACCGCAAACGGCCACAAAAAATGGGGGGCAGCCGCATGCATCATGGACGTACGAGCAACGTCCATGACCATGCCAATGCGGCGCTCAGCAATCCCATTTTGCTGTGGAGAGTCCGGAAGCGTAAAGGTCTGGCGGATGCCCCGTGCACGATAGTAGGCCCGCAGAAGGCCAGAGGAGAACTCCCCACCTCGGTCACATTGCAGACGCAGAACAGGAAAGTCTGAGCCGAAGCTCCTCCTGAGCTGGAGACGAGCCTCGCGGATCCAGTCGATCAGCACCTCAGTGACATCACCCTTGCTGCGCAAAGGGAAGACTAAGGTGTAACGCGAGTAGTCGTCAACCACCAGCAGGAAGTAGCGCTCGTGACCCTGCCCACGGATGCGGGCCGGGCCCCACACGTCCATGTGAAGTGTCTGCAGAGGAGCCTCTGTCGGAGGAAACTGGGAAGAGTGAGGGGCAGCCCGGAGGCGCCCCTCGACACAGGGGACACAGGAAGGTCTTGGTCCCGAAGGAAGGGGAGGGAGAGACTGGGGGAGACCAGAGACAAGGACATAGGAAGCCATGCCCCGAAGACGAGGCAAGGAGGGGTGGCCAAGACAGTGGTGCCACAGGAGAGTCTCGTGAGACAGGAGGCGACACGAGCAGGGGGCAGACTCAGGACCAGACCAGGACGCAGCAGCTAACACCTGACCCGACGCAGCTACCTGGCCAGACGCAGGGACAGGAGGAGACGGAGTGGTCAGGGTGTAGAGACTCGAGCCCGGCCGACGCGAGAACGTGGCCAGGTGTCGGCCTGTGCGTGCGTCCGTTTAGTGGGTCACCCACTGACTCGAAGGAGTAAACTGGTGAACGCCCGCATCCTGCAGGTCAGCACCACTCACCAAGTTCGTCGAGAACGAGGGGAGGTACAGACCAGATAGGGTGCCTGAAGGGGCAGCCGGACACGGGAGGACAGTGGAGAAGTGAGAGAGGACAGGACCCCCAGAGGGGTCAGCCAGGGAGACTGCAACCGGCCGACCAAGCGGCGTGACTGTGGTGCGGTCTCAAAAGAAGGAGCGAGAAGCCCCTGAGTCAAGTGTGAAAGTGAGGGAGGCCGAAGCCGACGCAGTACCTGAGAGCGCAGCCTCACCAGTACCTGAGAGCGCAGACGCACTGGCACCTAGAGCAGCAGTCTCACAAGCACCTAGCGCAGCAGTACCAATGCCCGGGTCGGGCGGGAAACACCGGTAACAGTCACCCTCCTCACTAATAGTCACAGCATACATGGCAGCAAGGATAGCATCAAAGTCAAGATCAAAGATAGCTACACCAGCCCTAAACAGCTCTCCCCAGCGGGGAATCTCACTAGCCTCGGGGAACTGCTGACGCCAAGCGTCCGTCAGGCGGCCAAAGCAGCGCTGGGTGGGGTGGGCACCCCCACACTGCTCACTCGCGCGGTCGCCGGAACGAAGGACGCAGGTGCACGGACCAGAACCCCCACCCCTCTGACGCTGCGTGTACCACTCACGGAGCTGCTGGAGCGGGGGGATGTCCCGCGAACGCTGCTGCTGCTGCTGCTGCTGGCGCTGACCACTACCAGAGCCGCTCCACTGCGGAGCACCACCCCGACCAGCTCCACCCCCTCCGCCACCGCTGCCTCGACCTCCGCCACCACCGCCGCCTCCACTCCCACCGCTGCCGCCGCCACCGCCGCCTCCTCCGCTGCTGCCACCACCACCACCGCCCCTGCCACTACTCCCACCGCCACCCCCACTCCCTCCGCCGCCTCCACCGCCACCTCCACCGCCCCCTCCAGCTCCACCCGCGCCCTTGCCCCCCTTGCCCTTGCCAGGGCGGCGTCTCCCGCTAGGGGCAGACGCCGCGCCGACCGACTCAAGACCAAGCAGGTCGGCAGCAGCAACAGAGGCAACAGAGGGCAGCAAGGGGGAAGGAGAACACCCCTCAAAGATGGGGGTGCGAGGGTCGCCACGAGTGGCTCCTACAGCAACGATGCTCTTCTCCGCCGCTAGGAGGGCCTTCTCGAGGAGGTCGATAGTGAGAGTGGTGGGACAGACTGAGAGGAAGTGGTCCTTGACTACGCAAAGGGAGTCAGGGAGGCGTGTGACTATGTAGTAGAGAGTGATGTACATGGGGGGGGGGGGGGTGGTTTCTTGGCGCAGAACTCAGCAGGAAAGGCGGCGCTGTAGCGAGTGTCACTAGTGCGGAGGTGCGTAATGAGGTCAGCGACAGTGGGAAAGGCAGTGAGATCAGGAAAGAGGTACGGTAGCATGAGACGGCTCAGTGCAGCAGTGGCAGGGGAAGAGTAGCGCGCAACTACAGCGTCGTACAAGGTCTGAGCACTCTTGTACTGACTAAAGTGCGCGCGCTCAGTAGTAGGGAGGTGGCGACGCATAGCAAGACGTGCAGCAGCATCGCGGGTGGCCCACTGAGAGCGAACAGTGGGGTCAGCATCAGCAGCAAGAGCAAGAGAGGCGCCAGAGGTGAGGTCAAAGAGAGAAGGACCGTCCGCCCTATCGCACTGTAAAAACAGCTTGAGGTCGTCGACCCAGACCTCAAAGTCAATGGCTCGACCCTCAGCGTCAAAAGCGAGGACACTGGGGGTAGCCATGACGACAGACTAGCAGTGAAAGCAGTGGGGAGTAGGGCACGCAGTAGCAGTGGGGCGTGCTCACCAGACAGGGCAGGACAGGCGGCTCGGCAGAAGGGCGGCTCGGCTGCAGGGCGGCGCGGCTGCGGGGCGGCTCGGCGGCTCGGCGGCTCGACAGCAGGGCGGCAGGGCGGCTCGGCGGTCGGGCGGCCCGGCGGCTCGGCGGCTCGGCTGCTCGGCGGCTTGGCTGCACAACGGCTGGGCGGCTCGGCTCCTCCGGTGCTCAGCGGCGCGGCGGTCGGCTGCTCGGGTTCACGCAGTAGGGTGGTGCAGTGGGCGAGGAGAGCGGCTGGGCCGCTAAGCAGGGTGGTGGGCCTCGGGGCGCGCTTCGGTGGGCCCTAGAAGCAGTCCCTAGGAGGGAACCTGCTCTGATTCCATGTGAAACAGAGAACGCGAATGAATGAACTATGAGTGAAGTGAGTACATATAGGAAACCCTAATTGGGTTGTACCCCCTATGGGATACCCCACTACAGCCTACACAACAGCATAAGCTATATATAAAGTTCTGACACACTCCCCCTTCACCCCCCCTTAGTACCACTCCACCAGCTCCAACAAGTCCACCCCCCCTCAGCGGTAGCTGCAGCACAAGGAGACGGAGGAAGAGGAGGAGCAAAGGAGACCACACACCCGCCACCCCCCAGGTCGCCCCTCCCGTCGCCTGTCGAAGCGACCTGAGGGGGGCCGCGTGCGGACCCCGAAGGAGCCGCGACGGGCGACGGCAAAAGGGGGGGGGGGGGGGGGGGGAGGGAGGCGGTGCCGTAGGTAAGGCGACGGGCCCGAGCCGTAGGTAGGGCGACGGGGCCGGGGCCAGGGCAGCAGGTTGGGTCGCCCGAGCCGCGCACAGGCGGCCCGAGCCGCGCGCGGGCCTGGCGCAGCCCGTACGGGTGGTGCGCGGGCCTGGCGCAGCCCGTACGGGTGGTGCGCGAGCCTGGCGCAGCCCGTACGGGCCGCGCGCTGCCTGTACGGGCCGCGCGCAGGCCAGGCGCAGCCCGTACGGGCCGCGTGCTGCCTGTACGGGCCGCGCTCAGGCCACGACGGGGCCGAAGCCCGCCGCGCGCCTCGGGGCGCACGGCGGGAAGAAAATCTGCCACACGCCACTGGGCGTGCAGCACCAAGTGTAGTGGTAGTAGTTGCAGCGGAAGCAAGGAGGTGGTAAGCCCACCCACAGGATCGATCCAAGGGGGATCGACCTGCTCTGATACCATGTGAAATGTTTAGAAGAAATAAGAGGATTGCACTAGCAAGAATGAGGATACAAATAGCAAACCCTAGAAGGGTTGTACTCGCTATAGAGCACCCCACTACAGGCTAGAGTATAATATTCTGACGGATAGAATCTGTTAAGTATGAGAGGAGACAATGAAGTCTTTGTAGTGATCTTGTTGAATAATAATTGAAGGAGAACAAGATGATTGAAAGATAGGAGTATAAGGGATTAAATAGAAATATAGCTAGCCATGTACTCTGAGGGGTACATTCCCTTATTAACTGTATTGCATAGCTACAGTAACCGTGACTATTGCTATCCTCGACAGTTACCATGTTGCAGTGAATTAACTGTCGCGCGGTTACTGGATTGTCAAGGGTCACGACCGTTGATTTTCTCAGACGGTTGACCTTTCGGTGACCCTCGACATCCCGCATGCTCTATATGAGCTATTGCGGTACTGGTACAGTGGAACAGCTTCGGGAATGCTTTATATAACCTTTCGGTTATTCCTACACCCTGCACCGTGCAACCCTCCCAGCAGGCAGATTCCTGCGAAAACCCCTTTCATAATCACATCACATGGTGAACCCGAAACCAGCAACAGGGGGACAGCTGCAACTGTAGATGATACTAACAAAAGTGGATTTGGCTGCCCATCCACCAGAAACACTGCGTTAATAGCATTCTTGAGACTAGCACAAAGCAAACGGGTTGAGGTCATGCTGCCTCAGTTTCTCAAGTTGCTGGATACAAGAAATTCGTGCCGAGTGCCCAAGGGGGATAGCAAGTTGACAGAGGGGGAGTGGAGGGACGGAGAAGTTCCGAACATTGAGAAGTATCAGATTTGGAACCTCAAGCAAGAGGGCAGAGGCCATGCTACATTGGTTTCTCAAGTTGCTGGACATAAGCCACTCGTGCCGGGTGTCTGAAGGGGACACCAGGTTCACAGAGGGAGAGTGGAAGGATAGAGAAGTCTCAAACATTGAGAAGTATCGGATTTGATTTAAGACCCATGTCTGGTATGCCAAGGACTTCAGCCATAGCATGTTGTTGGGCTGAGACGCCCTAGGATTTTTGTACAGTTAAAGTCTGAGTAGATGTTGTAATAGCGGAAGTGTTGAATGAAGTCTTTGAACCAGCTTGCGCTGGTATGTGAGGGCAAAGTAAGTAAATTAAAGCAAGGAGATACAAGAATATAAATAGAGTGAGTACAGAGAATATGAGGAGACATTATAACTAATTTCACTGTTGCGGTTTCGATACAGTGCGACTTGGGCAACTGCTCAATGTCGAGTCAGTTGTTTGTCCTTGCTGTCGCGCTGCGTCAGGTCAAAGGTCGCTGACCTTTGACTTTCCTGTAACCTTCGACGGTTTCGTTAACCGCTTTGGTTGACTCGAGATGCTTCGACTTGAGCTGCTTTGCTTTGTGCCTTGAGTTCTGACACGACAGAGGCGCTTAACTTATTTGTTCCCAACACATGTAACATATGTATGTATGGTAATAAGCTTACTGGTCTATCGAGCTACGAAATTTGAATGGAAAATTCTTTAACAAATCGTGCATAGAAAACTTGTAGAGATTATGCTACCGTATAGTTTCTATGATTTCTTTCTATAAATTATACATTGCAGGTGAAGATTTGTTGGTCCTTGTATCATTTTTGGAAGTGCTGGCTTCCCTATATGTTTGTTGGGGTTTTAATTCCCCCTGTTTACAACATTTGAATCAGGCATTGATTAATTACTGAACAGAAAAGATTTTGTATACCTAAATCACTCTAATCCGAACCGGTTCAGTTGTTACCGCTTTGGGGCTGAGTTGTGCCAAACTGCCTTCCGTTGCGCGTTTGATGGAAAACAAGTCAACACGATACTCTTTGAAATACGACTTAGAGCTGCCGAAATTCCCCGCATGCGACGTGAAACCCGATAACCTAATTATTTTCTTTGTCCAGCGCTGGGACAAAAACGGGTTCCGAGGCTCACTAACGTTTAGTCTGTCGCAAGGGCCTCGTTAGTAGAACTTGCATGTAGCGGGCGGTTCGCTGTAACCCTATAAATGCGCGCTCGGTTAGGTCGAGGTCGGTCCAGAAGGATCGAGTCAGGTCGTGTGAGGAGGCACGTGGGTGAACTGGCCCCCCTTCCGTTCAGACGCCGGTCTGACCGAGCTTGGGCCAGAAAACGCAGCAGCAGCTTTCGTCGGCCCCCTTCCAGGCAGCCTCTCAGTGCTGTGTAGGCGATTTCCATCTCTCAGCCTCACCTACGTGTTCAACTCTTGCCCCGTCACCATGTCGCGGAAGTAGTCTGTTTTCGAGGCGCGACCACTACTAGTAGGGGAAGTGGTTAGTAGCAGATCAAAGTCCCGCCGCGCCGCGCCGCGCGCCGCCAAAGTCAACTGCGATGCAGCCGCGAGCGTGGCTTGCACTCTCCGCCGCTCTTTGGCTCACTGCCTTCATCTCTCCATGCCATGCGCAAGTCGTGATCAACGCCACGCAAGGTACTACCTCCGTCCCTCCTCGCATGCTTGCCAGTGTAGGTACTAGTAATATACGGAATGCTTCTCTAGTTTGTACCTCCCTTCCTCCTCGCAGCCTGGGCGGGATAGCGATACTATTACCATGCGACTAATAGAAGTGCGCAAAGACATGTAGTAGGCACTCATGGTTGGACTGCCACGACAGGTCGGCGGTAACTTACTCATCCGAAAATTCATGGTATACCGCAGGTAATACCGAGATGAGGTGGGAACATCGAGCAATGCTTCCCAACCTCCCTTTCCCTACCTCGTTCAAACCTCACTGTGGAACTATCACCACTCGGTGTTGCACTGCCACAATGCGACTGAATAGCACTCGTGCGGCACGGCTTAGCGCCACGTGTTCTACACGTGTCGAGTGTGCATGCGCGTTTGGAGCCGATGCTGCGTTTCTAGGTATACAGCCTGCGCCGCGGGATGGGAGAGACCCATCGTCACAAGGCCATTCCTTGGTTATCCATAGTAGTAGCAGGCGCGGTAAGCAGGGAGCGTTTTGGCGCTGGCTGTAGCAGTGCTACTGCTAAAAATGCTCCCCCCCCCCCCCCCCTTCCCCCTCCCCCCAAAAGTATGTAGTAGCAAAGCTGATCCCCTAACACATTTCCGGCGCAGGCTGAATATATCCATCAGCGTCAACGCAGACCCGTACGCTGTCCACTCTTCACGTTGTGCCTCGAATGGTCCTTTGTTGATAAGGGGGGAAGTACAACCAGGGTTATAAGGTTGCTACAGGGGTGAAAACCACAGCCTGAACACAACTAAGCAAGTCAACAGCAGTGCTGTGATGTGATAGCACTACTGAGTGCTATCACTGCACATCGTCTTCTCCCTCCAGAGTGCAGCGGAGCTTCCCAGTGCCTAGTAGCGGCTGGAGGGTGTTCACTGTTGTCGCCGGGGCTGCCACAAAGCCAGCGTGGTGCTTGCTGATCAGTGCGTTCACCTGTGCCCGCTGCAGCGTGTACTGCACGGCCACCTTTGGCGGAAGCCGTGCAAACCATGCTTCTCCGCTTTGCGTGAGCTGTGTGGGTTCAGCGTTGTGCAGCCTTTTGGCCGCAAGCTCTGCGCAAATGCGGGGGTACTCCAAGACCCCGGAGGAGCAGTAACCAACCAATCCGAGCGAAGTTGTCGACTCGACAGCCAATGGCGATGAATGAATCATGAACCCGACCCAATCCGAGCGAGCGGTGGCGGTACTTGTGCTCCTCGAAGACCC